CAATAGCATTCCTGTACAAGAACAACAAACTCTCACTGAGAGAGAAATAACAGAAACCACACCTTTCACTATCACATCCAAAAAATGAAATACTTAGGAGTCAGCCTAACAAAGGAAGTAAAAGATCTAAACACTGAAAATTACATTACTCTGAAAAAGGAAATTGAAGATTTCAGAAAATGGAAAGGCATTCCCTGTTCATGGATAGAAAGAACAAACATTGTGAAAATGGCCTTTCTCTCAAAATTGTTACACGGATTTAATACAATTCCAATCAAAACACTATTTTCACACCTCACAGATCTAGAGAAATCATTCTAAAATTCATCTGGAACCAGAAAAAATCTGGAATAGCAAAGGCAATTATGGGCAACAAAGGCAAGGCAATCCCTGACTTGAAAATATACTACAAAGCTACTGTGATAAAATCAGCATGATACTGAAATAAAAACAGACCTGAAGATCAATGGAATAAATTAGATACAGCCACAACTACAAACACACTCAAGCCACCTCATTTTTGACAAAGAGGCCAAACATGTTCGCTGGAAGAAAGATAGTCACTTTAATAACTGGTGCTGGAAAAACTGCTTTCCATATGCCAGAAACTAAAACTAGACTCAAGGCTATCACCATGCATTAAACTGATATAAAAATGGATCAAATATTAAATATTTACAAAGTATTAAAACAGAAATAATCTTCTGGGAAAACAAAGCAGGCAGAAATCTTGACGACATAGTGGTAGGCAGAGAGTTCATAAACAAAAACCAAACTGCACATGAGGGAAATACTTCCCAGAATCAACAACTGGAATTTTGCCTTATTAAAAGTTTTTCCATTCAAAAGAAATCTCCAATGGAGTGAAAAGAAAACCCACAAATTGGGAAAATATCTTAGCCAACTGTCCCTCAGACAATAGACTTCTATGTGGAACATACAAAGAATTTTTAAAAATCAGGTCCCCAAAATTCAAAGACACAATCAAAAGTGGGCATCTGAGATGAATACGCAGTTCTCAGACGAAGAAATAAAAACAGCAAAAAAAAAAAAAAAAGTGAAAAAATGTTCAGCACCATTGGTCATTTGAGAAATGCAAATTAAAACAACACTGAGATATTATCTCATTCCAGAAAGAATGGCCAAAATCCATAAATCAACCAATAACAAATACAGGAGGGTCTGTGGGGAAAAAGAAACTCTTCTACACTGTGGGTGGGAGGGTAGGCTGGTACAACCACTGTGGAAATCAGTGTGGAGATTCCTCAAACAGCTAGGATTAGAAGTTCCATTCGACCATTTTCCCACTTCTGGCCGTTTTCCAAGAAGAATTGAAAACCTCACACCACAGCGATATATGTGCACCCATGTTTATAGCAGCACAATTTGTAACAGCTAAATCTTGGAAACAACCCAAGTGCCCATCGACTGAGGAATGGATAAAAAGATGTAGTATTTTTGTACAATGGAGTACTACCCAATGATAAGGAAAGATTGCATTGAGACTTTTATAAGTAAATCGACATGACTTGAGACCATACTCATAAGTGAAATAAATAAAACTCATATGTGTAAATACCATATTGACTCCTAGTGTAAGAAACTAAAAGAGCAATTATGATCCAAAATGTACAATAAATATTGTTTAAGGGTAAGAAATTTCTTGAATACAAAAGTAACTGGGAAAGGGGGAAGGAAGAAGGAAGGAAGGAAAAAGGAAAAAGTCATAATTTGTGTGCTTGTGTGTGTGTGTATGTGTGGCTATATAGTTAGCAAAAATTAGTATATTACTAATTGCAGTAGTTCCTGGCAAAGAACAGTTAATACTCATGAATAGATCAATTTTACACATCTATATCTGGTAATCTAAGTAATCCTTTTGAAGATAATAATATGCAGCATTACAAACACTGTTAAATTCTTATCATCTTGTTTTGAAAACCTGTACTGTGACTGTTTTGGTTTGTTTTTGTTGTTTGTCTCTTTTGTTCTTTGTTTTTCTTTTCTGTGTCTTTTTTTCTCTTAAATAAATAAAAGCGCCTTCCTTGCAAGCAAGCAGTTGTGAGTTCGATCCCCGGTACCAGTAAAAACGAAAAAGACAAAAAAAAAAAATCACACTGTAGGGCCACCCAGATGGGCACACGGAAGAGAAGGCGGGAGCAGCAGGGTGCCTGCATTAATCTGGGGACCCGCTGCCTGTGGCAGAAGACAGGGTGAGCTCCTCATGGGGACTGTTCGTGGAGGCCTCTGAAGGACACCCTGGCCCAGATCACTACACGCCACTACCATGCTTGACCCTTTCGGGTCACCCTCTGGCTTGCTGTTCCCAGGCTCCTCCAAGGTGAGGTAACCTTAAGACAGTCTGGAGACTGAGGTTTAGAAAAACTAAACTGCTTCAGATTCAGGTCCCAGGCAACAACATGGCAAAGCCAAGATCTTAACTTAGGTCTGCCCAATTCAAGTTTGGCTCTGAGGCTTGTAGTTCCCAACCCAAAAGTTAGCACCTCTAGAAGAAAATTTTGAAAACAATATGTTCCTAGGCCAGGCCATAAAACCCATACATTTGCTTCAAATCCCCACAGTGCTGGAATCCACATGGCAGAGGCTCTGGGGAAGACGTCATGAGAGCAGGCTTGGGAGTTGCTGCGATGGCCCCCACCCCGCCCTGCAGGTCAACCACCCCTGTGGGAAGAACTCAGAGCTAGAGACGTCTTAGGAACAGCTGACCTAGAGAGGGGTTTTAGCGTGAGGTCATAGGTGAGCTCCCTAAGGAAAGATATAGAAAAAAAAGAAAAAGGCCCAAAATAGAATGTTGGTAAAATTTCCAGCAGATGCAAGAAGCAGATGCAAAGAAACAAGGGCCAAAGTTCTTTGAAAGGGGGCATTTGTCATCATAAGATACTGCAGAGAAGGGGGAGAGGACAGGCCAGTTCACAGCACCTCTAGCGGTCACCTCCACAGAGCAGAACAACCCTCTGCTCTACTAGTTGATGTGAGCTTTTGCTTATTTGTTGATTTTAAGGGTTGGTTCTCAAATTTCTCATGATTACCACATGCTCCCACTATTCAGTTGGGACATTTGCTACCCCAGGGAAGGTATGTCACTGTGGGATGCAGAGAATGAAGGGTCAGATCCACAGCAGTAGTAAGGTACCATTTACCATTTATATATCACACAATTCACCCATCGTAAGTACCCAAAGCCCGTGATTTTTTTTTTTGGAACATTCTAGTTTTGGAATACTTCCACCACTTTTGGGAATAATTGCAAACAAACCACTGACCCTCCAAAGTCATCTGTACCCAGCTGCCTCCAGAAGTTCCACGCTGACCCCTGATCTTTCCCACTGGTCCCTCCACCTCCCAGAGGACAGGACTGACGAGGCTTGGCCAGACCAGATCCCTCTGGGCAACAACCCAGGACCCTGCTCAGCCTCCTGTGAGCCTTGGGGTGCAGGCTGTTACGTGGTCAGTTCTGGGCCTAAGATAAGCCAGAGCTTTCCCACCTCCACTGCTGGGGCCTGAGGACCCCAAAACCACGCTGCCTTAAGCACAGGACATGGATTCTATTTGTAACCAGAGGTTCTTTGGAAAGAGTAACAGATTGAACCCTACGCTGCAGGGGGGTTCCAGAAGGACCACAGTAGAGGAGGAAGGCAAACAAAGAGAAGAAATTCAGGCCATGGGTAGGATTCCTGCTTTGGGGAGATACTTTGGTTTGTACTGACTTTGACGCAATGATGATTTCTCACTTGTTAAAAGACAAGGTCACACCTGAGATGGACTCAAGGACTACAATGAACACTCCAGGCTGACTCCAGCCCTATTATTCCTCAGCGCTCACTGCCCAGTACACTCGGCTCAGCTGTGCCACCACCTTTGGGACCTGTCCCCAGCATGCAGCCCATGCTGAGCCACGAGACACAGCTGTCCTGCGGGCACCAAACACCGTCCCCCAGATGGGTGTGTAGCTTATACGAAAATGGCAGAGAAGCTTAAAATGTATGTGAGGTTTATTTACCAAAGGAGCCAAAGGAAATGTTCAGTGTTACAGACAAAAGAATTACCAACTCAGTTTATCAGTGGTGGCAGGCATGAAAGTAGAATCTTCAAACCCCTGTTTCTTCTACAATCAGTCTCATCTGAACTCCACCTGGCTCACTGCAGAGAGGTGCTGACCACCAGGGAAAGATGGTGACTTTGGTGACCAAAATGGCACATGAAAAGCAATGTTGTCTTCACAGAGCAAGGGAAGGACAAGATTTTTCTGTGCATTCCAGAGGCAGAGGCATCCCAGAGTGTCTTAATTTTGCCAACAACATTTCAGAGCTCTTTTCCTCATATGCCCAGACAGAGTGAAGGCCTCTGTATTTGTGATGACTTCATGCTCAGCCAAAAGTAAACACACTCTCCACTTTTTTCCATGGACAAATCCTAACCCCAAATTGCCAGCATTGGCCTCTGCAATCCAAATGGAAAGCCGCCTTCCCCAAGAAAATAAAACCTTTTTAACTCAATAATACATCTTGGCTGCAAAAGCAAACTTTCCTAAAAGCTTCCTAGAAATTATTTATCATGCAATCATGCAGAGAGATGCTGCAGATCCCATGAGCAAACCCTACCAGTGGAACAGAGCCACTGCAAATACATAAGCCAAGAATCCACGAATAAACGTTCACTTCGGCAGACACCTGCACTCATAACCTAGGCAACGCATTTTAACATACACAGAATCTACAACTCAACACACACGCACACACACACACAAGCACATGCACACTCTTCGGTACTACCTAACCGGAACATGCTTTCTGAAGACAGGCAATGATAACACAAGTGCCAATTTGAATAAAGAGCAAAATGGCGCTCAAGATGCAGCTCCACAGCTCTTTGGTCTGGGTCAAACTCATCTCATTCCTCCTGCACATTCCAACTCAAATCCCTGAGACTAGAACTCAGTCCTCCACCAGCTAGTAAGAAATGTAGACTTGAGGACTTACCAGGTTGGAATTGGTAGCGTTGGAATCATCTTCTGGAAAGGGAATATAGATTGCTAAGGCCACACAATTGGCAAAAATAGTCAGTAAAATAATTATTTCAAATGGTCTGAGGAAGGGAGTTAAGGAAGCCATAAGCACAAGTGAAACAAACACATATCTACATATTATTTTTAAATGAATCAAAGATCGGTAAGAATTTTGTTTAAACAATGCATTCCAAGCCCCTTGTATTCTGAGAAGAAACATATGCCTTTTTAAGTGCTTCTCGTGGGGCCCCGCCAAAATTTTTCCTAATATGTCAAAAGCAGTGGAGGCCAGTCGCGTGCCAGAGTAAACATAGATTTCTAAAAACTTTTTTCCCCTTCTTTTATTTATTTAGATTGTGTTTGACTTCATTTTCCCTCATGCATGCTTAGCGTAGCTTTTACTGAACAGTGCCTGCCTCAGGCAGGACTCCCCAGCACCCCACTTTGGCACAGCCACCACCTGGGGACCCAAATGCATCTAAGACAGGAGAGCAGTAAAAAGGAGTTTCAAAACGAAATGACCTTTCATATTTTCCATTGAAATTTGGAGACTTTACTCTTTACTCGTTCAAAGTAAGGTTAGGAAGGGTTTTTTCTTCTACTTCTAGTTCTCCTTCTCTTTCTCCTCCTTCTTCTGTTTCACTCTTTGACAGCTTCCAGAGGGCCGGAAGCCTGGCCAGGTGGCTCAGGATCCCCCAGAGTGTGTTGCATGTTTAGAGAAGGGCAACCATTTCCCTTCGTCTGGTTCTCCAGAGGTTCTGGTTCTGCCTTCCATAGGCTAGGCTCTGCTGCTCCTCCCAACTTTTACGCTGATGACCCTGGGCTGTAGAGAACCAGCCCAGAGTAGGTTCAGTGATCAGTGCACGGAAGGTGCCACACCTGATGTCTCAGTCAGAACAGCAGGGCTGCATGCACCCTCCAGAGGCGATGAACTAACGTGATAGCACTCTTCCAATGAGGCCTGCCCCGTACCTGCAGCTGGAGGGCCAGACGGCTCTTTACAGGAAGAGTCTAATTTGTGCCCTTCCAGTTCCTTCCTCACCCACCTTTCCCCACTGCCACACGTCCAGTGTCATTCATGAAGTCTAACGAAAGAAGGAAGAGAAAGAGGGGATGGAAATTGCTGCACAAAGGGACCAATTTAGCTCTCCCAGGAAATAATGAAATCACAAGGATAAAAATGTTGGAGCAGGAAGAGACTTTGGAGATTTTCTGGTCTAAACCTGTGAGATCTAGAGAGACTTGAGAAATCTTCCCAATGCCCCATACAGGATAACTGATCAGCTGGGACTAGCACCCAGACTTCCTAGCCACCTAGTACAGCACTTACCAACCACTATAGACAGCTTCTGGCTTGATTTCACATGCAGCACTGCTGAGGTCACACCTTCCTGAACCTGGGAGGATCTGAACGACCACCTTAATGATAGGACCCCCACAGCACTTGGTATCACTGAGAATCCATTCACCTTGCAAGCCTCATAAAAGGTGGTATGTGAGCCTGGACATTTAAAAGACAGCAGACTACAGACCTGTCCAACCTGTACATGTTACCAATATGGATAATAAAACAGTCTGTACAAGATTCCAATCTGGCAAAGAATAGAGCCAAGACCAGAACCCAGATCCACTGACCAATATTTTGCATCATGCTGGCTTTGAGTTGGTCAAAAAATCAATGGTAAGGATGTGACAGAGATGCTGGTGATGGAGATGGGACAGTAAGGACAAAGGCTAACATTCAGTAAGAGCCTACCTAGTGCCAGGCATTGTTTTAACTACACTACGCAACCACCCGGCATGGAAAAGTTACTACCCCACTGCTAAAGAGGCATACTGAGACACAGTAAGGCTACACGTTAACTTGCCCAAAATCACAGAACTAGTGGTGGAATAGGATCCAAATTCAGGAAGTCGGATTCCAGAGTCTGAATTTTTGAGAACTGCCTGATACTGATCCATATTGAGGTCATCTAGAGCACATTTAAGAAGCCAGTTCCTTCAGCCCTCTGACTGTAGCACCTCTTCCTTCCTAAATCTATACCCACCTGCTCAGGAATGTAACACTCAGCTGGGAACTTGTCGGTTTCACTCTTATCATGTCCTACTCTATGCCCTCCCCGCCAGGGGAGCACAGATCTACTGAGCCAGACTGCATGAGCACCCATTTGGCAAAATATCAACTCACTGCCTCCACCAAAGTGGGGGTAGCTAAGCCTGCAATTGTCAGTTGCACTCGCCCAGCACCAGGCTACCTGCCCATCATAGCTAAAAAGCATCCAGCAAATGTGGGGAAGATATCAATCAGGTATAAAGACATCAATCAGGTAAGGGAGAAGACTATCTGTTAAAAAAGCAGGGAAGAATCCAGTTAAGACCTGGATATGCTCTGTCTATGCTGGGAAAAACAGATCATTTTTTAAACTGCCTTCCTAATGACGGTATCAAATTCTATTTTTTGAAGAAAGGAAGATAACACCAGGTATCTTCCTGCCTGTCCAGCTATCCTTCCTAGGTGATGTGGAAAGGCCACCCAACCAGCAGTGCTGAGGCTGGGTCCACATCCCCTTTTTCAGGTGGAGAGCAACTTCCCACAGGACAGGCAGCTGCAGCACCATGCAATGAGTTCCCGGGGCCCCTGCATTCCAGCAGAGCTGGGGTACACACTCTCAACACTCACCCTACTACCCATCTAGTTCTACTAGTGACTATCTACTCCCTACCTCGTCTCATGTGTACCACGTAGTACTATAAGCAAGGGTGAGAAGTACATGGATTCTGGATACTGCAGAATCTGGATTTGAAACTCAGCTCTGTCAATTGCCAGCTGTGTGATTTAGGGGAAGTTTTGTTTTGTTTTGTTTTGTTTAATTTTCTAGGCCTCACTGCTCTTAAAGTTACTTCTATGTTGAAAGGCTCAAACTTTCATAAGATGGACACTGCTTGCTCAACAGAAGCTTTCTTTTATTCCCGGATCATCTTTTACCTTCCAACCATTATGCAACATTTTAAAATATTTCCCTAGAAACTTATTAATGGGATCTAACCTCCACCCAGATCACCAAGTTAAGAGACCTGGTGGCCCTCCCCGAATGAATCTTTATTATAATAATGTCCAGCACCAACGCCCTAGTTTCTAGCACTGTCTATACCCACCATATAACCCTGGGAAGTCTTGAGGGAAAAGTCACCCCTTGAGGAAGTCATGGCTGGACCTATACAGAGCTTTAAAGTTTTCTCTTGGCTCCATGACGCTTGGATGATTTAAGAGCCTTGTATTTGCAAAGTGAGAACCCACCCCTGTTACTTTGTCTGAAGGAACTCTTTCATTAGTTTCTCTATATACACAGTGGATCTGTGTCTTAAGACTCCAGATCAATGTTTCCAGTTCAGCTATACTTTAGACTCACTTGGAGAGATTTTCAAAATCCATAGGTGACACTCAGGAGTTAAGAGTTTGTTAAAATTTTCCAGGTGATTCTAATATGTAGTCAAGGCTGAGTTCTCAGACCACAAGCAAGAACCAGGGCCACTGACGGCTACACTCCCTTACATCTCCTAGGTGCCTGCATCCCACCGTCATAAAACGGGAGAGAAAACCACTATGAAGCATCTTGTAATGACTGCTCACAATCACATAAGTGGATCCCAGGCAAGCTCAGGTGTGTAAGATGATACTTCGGAACCTATTGTGTTTATTTTCCCCAGAGTTGCTTATTATGAGTTGAGTATTCCTACCCTGAAATGCTAAGGACCAGAAATGTTTCAAATTTGGGATTTTTAAAAAGTATCTGCACATAATGCATATAACAAGAAATCTTGGGAATGCAGCTCAAGTCTAAATCTGAAATTTCTTTGTTTCTCATGCACCTTGTATATTTAAGCTGATGGTAATTTTTTTATAGGATATATTTTGTGTGACTGTTTTGACCACAACCTGTCACAATGGGGCAAGTGGGTAATTTTTCACTTGTGACATCATGTTATCTCTCAAAAGTTTCAGGTTTTGGAGTAATTCAGACCTCAGATTTTTTCGGACTGGGGATGCTCAATCTATATACAGTGTCCTGGGAAGAAAAATTGGGTAGCTTGTTATGCAAGCAGATTCCTGGGTCCTTTCCCAGGAATTCAGAAGATCAAGTCTGGGTTAGGGCTTAGAACTCTGCATTTTCACAAGCCTCACAGACGCAACTGCAATCAGTCTTAGACTCAGAACTCAGCGCCACCCATACAGCCTCCTGGTTCTGAAACCCCAAGGACCAGAAGTCCCCTGCCCAGGCTAGAGCATAAAGGATATTTCCATTCAACAATGCTGATGCATGCTCTCCGGATAGGGTTCTTCAGAGTTAGGCAGAGCAGGGCCCGAGGCGGCCGCGTGGCAGTTGTGCCACTCTGCTTCTTAGGTTTCCCATACTGCTGCCGCTTCCGCTGTGTAGAGCTGACAGTGGAGATGGTGGTATTTCCAGCACTGCCCATCAGCTTGGCCTGCCGGGCCGCATCGATGGCTGCCTGCCAGGATAGGGCTGCCCCCGGGGTGGGGATGTGCTCAGGGGCCAGCCCTGCAGCCGCATTGGCATTCATGTTGGCATGAGCTGGGCGTGGGCTGCCATAGTTGGAACCTGCAACGAGAGAAGAGAGAGGACAATTATCAGATTGAAAACATAAGCACATGGGACATGCTTTGGATTCCAGACAATTTTATAAACTCTTATTTCAAGCACATGTCACTCCCCTCTCTGGCCTCACAACCTCATCCAAGGAAGGCAAAGGATGAGATATGTGTGTTACAAGGTGCAAGGGCCTTTCTGGCTCTCTAACTTGCACATGGTCATTAGGTTCTCGTCATGCAAGCCAATCTAATAAATTCTCTCTCTCTCTCTCTCTCTCTCTCTCTCTCTCTCTCTCTCTCTCTCTCTCTCTCTCTCTCTCGTGTGTATGTATATTCCACTGATTCTGGCTATATTAGGGTTCTTCCTTTTCCTCTGAAGAACCCTAATACAGCCAGTCAGAACATTTTCATCCTGAGGGTCTGTCCCAGAGAGAAAGAAACTCAGTATCATGGGATTCGTGCATTTAGCCATGCCTGAAGTTAGCCCTATTCAACCACAGGGAGATGAGACAGATGTGGCCTCCGAGAGGACCATGCCTCAGAATCACCAGAGCCTCCCCTCTCCAGGCCATTTCCTCTACCCACTGTGATGACAGAGTGGTTTACATAACTTACAACTATGTTCATTCAAGTAGGGTCTCTGTCCTGTGCAACCAAAAAAACCTGACTAACGTGCTTGCTCCGGGTCCAAACCTTGTATCTGGCTGAGCTGTCATTTTTACAGGCCCCAAAGTGTGTCCTCTCTATCATAATGAACAACCAAAAATAAGTTTCAACTCTACGCCATCTGATTGACATCACTGTCTACAATGCTGTACTTAAAGGATTCCGAGTACAACAGGAAAGCACATCATGATAAATTAGTGATGCTTACCATGGGCACTGAGGGTAGGGGATGGTAAACACACAGATGCTACATTTTCAGCACCCATGCCAGAGACCAAGCTGAGCACATCAGGTCTTCTCTGCTACCAGCTGGCCAGCTGCCTCCTACACTGTTGCCATCTGGTCCCTGTGACATTAGAGCTCCACCCTACTCTCCAGAGCCCGGAAAGTTGTGTCTACTATACCCAGTTCATGGCCACGTGCATATTTGCAACGTGACACAGACCTCCTCTCACCATATACGCCCTTCACCCTTCTCCTTTTGTCCAGGCAGCTCCACACCCCCAAGGTAAACCACATTCACTAGGCTCATCGAGAACCAGATATTTCCTCTACTGAAAAATTTCCTCTTCCACATTTCTTGTCACAGTCCTCCCTGTATTCACTGCGTGGATGGATCATAAGAATAAAGTGAGATAGTCCCCAAGAAGGCTAAGAACCCTAACCTTTCTTAGAAGACCCCACAGGGAAAAACTAAAAGAGTGGATCTGAATTAATAAACGTAAGAACTGCTTTAATAAGCAGCAAGATGAGTGTCTCCACTTAACACATAAGAAACAAAGGAGCATATGACTCACTAAAGGTCACGAAATGAGACAATGGAAGATTTCTGCAGTACACAGGACTCACAGTGAACTGGCAGACTATACTCCTGCCTCCTCACTCACACACACACACACACACACACACACACACACACACACACACATCCACTCCCCATGCATGCACACGTGTGCTCACATGTATGGTGATACATAATGTACACATGCTTCTGGCTTACGGGCATTGAGATGGAAGGAGCTGCACTTCCAAGAACATCCTATAGATTCAGTAAGATCTTCTTAGGACACCATCCGAGACACCAACAGTCCCCACAGTGATCCTCAGGAGCCTCCAGGGTGGATGTGGGTAGAACACATTCCCATTTCTATCTGCCACGCTGGGGTAACCAAGTCCAAAGAGGTCTATCGTATTTGCTTCACCAAACAAGACCAGAACTCTTAACCTTGCTCTGTTAAGTCTGTAGTATATAATTTGTCTTTCCTAGACTACTTGGCACTGACAAAATTGAATAGCCTATTTTAGCCTCTGGACTAACTTTTCTTCCTTCACATAGTTTAAAATCAGCCATGTCTCCCTGCTACTAGCCTCACACTTGAGAGGAGCAGAAGCAATGGAATATAGTGTACATGGAGGAATTATTAGATTGGCTTCACATAAGCAGAGATTGGATGGTCATGTGCAAGTTGGAGAGTCAGAAATGAGCATGTTCATTGTTAACTTAGATATCTGATCCCTTCTCTCCACAAGATGAAGCCATGAGACCACAGAGGGGCTGCCATGTGCAAACTCTAATCTTTGCACTCATTCCTGGGCATTGGCCTTTATCTCCCACTCTCATATAAGCTGTCAGCTCCAAAAGCCCAGCTGTCCCAGGAATCCCTGGACAGCACACGAGAAGAGGGGAAGAAGCACTGGGTCTGAGAATCCATCCACAGAAAGGATGTGTCAAGTCTACGCATCCTGTGTACCCTGTGCATGAACAAAATGGTGGCCACCTCTGCAGAGCCTCGTGGCAATTCTGAGTGCTAGGTCTTGAGAGGCTAACTTCTGAGCCCGCCCCCACTGCACTCCACAGGGGACCTTATTTATATTGTGAACTGTTCCCAGAACACAAGGATTTCTCTGGAGTACACCATCTGGAGAAAGCATATAAGAATAGCCCCTTCGGGAAAAGGGGAACATCAACTTCTCCGTGGCAGGGGATAAGAAAATGACCCTCAGTGTTTTGGCCCATATATCTCTAAGCATTTTTACAGCCCTTTGATGTGACCAAGGACACTGCCGCAGTAAAAACACAGCCAGAGACGGGTAAGACATGTGTGACCGCTCATGGCCAGTCTCCTCAAGGGCTAAATCTCTAGGCCAGTTTAGCCTCCCCTTCTCTAAGTCTTTCCCCACCCATGGGATGACTTCTCCCCCAAATCTAAATTTCTGTGGTTTGGTCATCCCCAAGGGACACAGTTATTCCAGAATCCCAGGAGTGGGAAAATCTATCCTTGGCACAAAGGTTCTAAATCTAGAATAGCGCTATGGGCAGGAAGAACTATCCCTGATGACTTCTGTTAGCTTGAAATCGCCACCCAATGCAAAGAGAAAATTTTTCAAATTATAAAGCTGATTCAAAACTGTCTCCTGGATGCCAGCTGAAAAGGCGACACCATTTAAGTCTCTCTGGCTCCTGCCTCGTCAGGTTATTTCCACCGATCCTCTTGTTTCTAACTGAGTCTCACAGCAGCAGCTCAGCAGATCAGGCCACTCACAAACAGCTGGGCGCTCACAGTGGTGACTCCTTTCCAGGACATAAAAAGATAACTTCCATTTGCCAAATGGTTCAGGTCTCCTGAAGACAGCTGCAGCTCCCTTCTCCTGTACACAGGTGCTGTTGCTTCTCAGAGGGATCAGAATGAGGACAAAGACCCCCACACACTGGTCATCTTCATGGCCTTCTGCTTCACAAGGGTTTCCTGAGGAGTCTAAGTCAGGAGCCAGGAGCATCTGCTTCCATAGTATCACTGGGAGTGATGTTCAGTGTTGGGGAGCTAGAAGGTGTTCAGGGAAGAAAAGGCTGACTTTTTCTTTCCTCCATCTCCTTCATGCACCTGATCAGAGGTCACCCCCGATGGTCAACATTATTTGCTAAGTCTATAACAATAATGATATCATCATAAAGATGAAGGATTCTATACTCTGCACGGCCCATATATTGAACACTTTGTCCCAGCTCGTAGTGCAATTAGAAGGTGGCAGGACGTTTGGGAGGTGGGACACAGTAAGAAAAAGACAGGTTATCAAGGATGTGTTCTTGAGAGGACATTAAGACCCTTGTCTCTTTTGCTTCACCACTGCCATGAGTTGAAGGGATAAATGATTTGCTCAGGTACATGGCCCATACCAGGATGTGCTACCTTCCCACAAGCCCAAAAGCCATGAGGTCAACCAACCATAGACTGAGATCTCCAAATCTATGAGCCAAAATAAAACTTTTCTCTTTATAAAGTTCTGATCTTGGATATTTTGTCACAGTGATGGAAAGCAGAATAACACAAAAGTGAACTACAAGTGATCTTCAGATACAACTCTGCTGGAGTCTATCCATCTGTGCCTTCCAGAACAGGTTTATTCTTAAGCATCAGGTTCTTCTACTTTCTTCTTGGATTTTGTACGGGGGGAGAAGCTCTGAGGAAAGAGTGTGAGTAACAATTTCCATCTGCCATGCCACCACCCTTCTCCAGGCCACCATCCATTTCTTGCCCAGAAATGCTGTAGTAGCCCCCTGACATTTCTCTTATTTCCAGTCTTGTCTGTTCCCACTCCAATCTCCATGCAGCAGCTAAAGTGACCTTTTAGAAATATGAATCATAAATCAGGCCCTGTCATTCCCTTGGTTAAATGCTTTCAAAATCCAATCTCTGCATCATGGCTTGTGAAGCCTGCATAGGTTGGCCCAGGCCCGTATCCCTGTGCTCAATTCACTCCTCTCAGCCTGTTCTAATATGTTCCAACAAGGGCTTCACTCTATGCCTTAGATGTGCCCAGTTCTTGCCTGCCACTGTGCCTTTGTGTGTATTTATGATGCTCTTCTACCTGCTCCTTGCTGAGTGAGTCCTCTTCACTCTTCATGTTTGTCTTTGATGATTCTTCCTTAAAACTTTCAACCCAAATAAGCAAAAATCATAACTTCACTGTTTCCAAGCCACCCTTAAATAAATGTACTCAAACCCCTTGGCATCATAAGGGATGATCAATTAACTACAGGCATAGGAAAATATATGGGGCTAACAACCCGCTTTGACAGCCAGCCTCTCTCTTTGATCTGACTGCCCTCTGCCATGCATGGAGGCAGGTCATTTCTAATGAGCTGCTTCTTTGCACACGGAGACACTCCAGACTGGCTTAGAGAGATCAAGGAGCAGCTACTCATAGTCACGAAGGAGAAAGCAGCAAATAAACTTGCTCCAGGTCCTGGCTACCTACCAGTCCTGCAGGGAAAAGGCAATGCTCTCTCTCTCTCTCAGGCCAGGGCGCTACCCAGGTTGACAGCAGAAGCCCGTTTAGTTCTGG